CGATCAACAGAATCGAACGCACCCTTGAAGTCAAGGAATACCAGGATTGTGGGTCGTCTGTACATGTGGCGTTGCTCTAACACCTGACGGAGTGTGAAGATGTGGTCAACGAAGCCTCTATCCGGTCGAAATCCCGCTTGATTCTCACGAGTCAAGACTTCGCGTGACGCCATGAGACGACGAAGAATCAATGACGCCAGAAGCCTTGTCTCAACAGGCCAGACGAACCGCACAGAGGCGACTATCAACAGGTATCCAGTCAAGTAAGGATACTTCCGCCCTGTAACTTAGCACAATACCAATCGCTGCACACGCCGCCACATAAGCTTCTGGATTACTAGAGGCGCGCAGCCGGAAGCGAGTGGAGACTGACGGAGTAGATAGCTCAATCACTGTGCTTGCATGTTGAAATGCAAATGCATTATCATTTCTACGGAACAAGTCTACACATGTCCTAACCCCCAACCTTGAGGGCCAAGAGACTGTGTTCGTCAGACCTCTAACCATTGACCAACCTGGTATGAGAGACTGTGAGTGTCGCCGGGACACTCCCCAGTATACCTCAGTGGGTCTCTGAGGTGCGCAAACCGTCACACCACGGTAAGGTCCAGTCTCTTTGTGACGGTTTGCATTGGCTGGAGACATTGCAAGAACTGGCGGCAGATCGTTGTCAGTAGCGTTCGTGTTGTCACTTCCAGATTGGCTGACTGAGCGCTTGGAGGTGTAAGCACCTCAGAATGCTTGACGTAGACCAGTAGTAGTTCCCCCTCACGCACTCTTCCTCGACTCACTCTAGGGCTATTAATATAATTAGATGAGCTTAATGGTTATACGTCAGTCAACACTAATTTTGCGATCTATGATGATGCAGACTTCGGGTAGGTGGTGTCCAGTCTTCGGACAGTTTTAGGTTACTGCTCGAGATCCAGTTCTTAGGCGTATTTGGTTGTTCCGTTCCACAAACTCAGCGTCCCATGTGTTGCAGGGTTGTGGATACTACTTTACAGTGAGGGTCGACGGCAGATATTCTGTCCACAGAGGATGTTAGGTGGTCTAATAAGTTTACTTCACATCAAATGCCCGGAGCTTATTGGCCCGATGAAGTGTACGAATATTGCGCGCTTCCGAAAAGCCCGACCTAAAGCTACCACCTTGACGTGGTGGTCGGGCTTCAGTGCTGCAATGATCCTGCGGGC